CTGAGCTGGCCTGGCCAGCAGCCCTTCTGTTTCTTCCTATGTGTCTGAGCCTCCAGCTCATTGGGTAGAACCCAAGAGTTGGGTGGGATCATCAGGAAAAGGCAGAAAGCAAAGACAGCTGCTTGGTTCCTGCCTGCGGTGGGGGAATGCTGGAGTCCCAGCAGCAGAAGCAAAAATGCAGGGAGGCAAACAAAGTTCATGCCCCGGTAACACCGTGCTGCTGCTGTCAGTCTGTCAGAGGGTTATCACTTTGGGGATGCTTTTAATAAAGGAGTCTGAGCTGTCATCGGGTGCCAGAACCTGCAGGAAACCTCCAGCCCCTCCTGGGAGCGTGTTTTCCAAGCCTCAGTTTTGCTTACCACCAAAAATGAAGGAGGATAGGACTTTCTTCATTCTTTCATCTGCTTGTCAGTCTTAATGTGACACTTTAAAGAGTGTCATTGCTTGAAAGAATTAGCAGGGCCAGACAGAGGTGGAGGCCCCCTCATCCCACACACACAGCAGGTGGAGGTGGGTGCGCTGAAGGAATTTCTATTGGGGATGATCGAAGGGATGTTTCCAGTCTCACTTGTTTTAGGGGTGAGTGCCTATGGCTGTGGTGATGTTTGGGCTGTGATGCCCCCAGTGGCACAGAGAGCATCCCCCCTTGAGGAGCTGTACTTTGTGGGACACACTGCAGCCGCAGCCATTCCCTTTCATTCCTCGGATTTGAGACCAGCAGGTTGCTGCCATGCTGGAAACAGATGAAGGTGCTTTCTGCAACTTGTGGCTGCTGCATCTGAATGCTGTGAGTATTTTGGGCGTGCTGGATCTTACACCAAGCTCTTGATGTAAACAGTGAACACCCTTTGCTCTCTTTGGGGTGCCCAGCCCTAGAACAAGGGGCTCTCGTGCATCCTGACCCCTGCAGTGCAGTGCTGAGCATCCTGTTCTGCTCAGCCCCGGGTTAGGGAGGAGCACCCTGCAGCCATGAGCACATGTGAGCATATGTTTGGTTCCAGGCACTGTCTGCCCGTGATTCATGGCTATCTGCACTGTGTCAGGTCAGTGACTCAGTGCCGTCCCAGCAGCAGCTCTGTGGCAAGGCTGACAGCACCTGTCTGGGATGCTGTTATTTATTAACATGTTACCAGAAAGGGTGGCATGGGAACAGAATGGCTTCACTTCCTTTAGCTGAAGGAGTTTTAATGGCATCTGAAGCCTTCTGGGATTTCGGCAAGGTTTTGGTGTCTGATGCTTAGGTCTGTAAATGAAGGTAATCTCTCTGGACAGAATCTGAGATTGAGATTGGCTCTTACAATGGAGTCTGATGCTTAACAAGAGCATGCATTTGCTTTGCAGCATTGTCAAAAAGCTGCTCCAATGGAGTTGACAGCAAAGCCACAGGGCAATGAGATGCTCCAAGAGATGTGTGAGGAGGTGGGATGGGAGGTGGATGGACGTCCAGCAGGGGAAGCACGTGGCCAGACAGAGCTGCAGTTATCCCCTCTTCAGATGGAACACATGCAAATGAGCAGAGAACACAGGATGGGTTCCTTGGCAGCACCAGGGAGTGATGGGCTTTCATCCTTCTATGATGTTCTGTGGGGTTGCTGGTGTTGGGGACACGGGGTGGCGGTAGGCTGTGCTGTCACCAGTGCTGGCAGAGCCTGGGAGGGCACCATGTGCTGGCAGAGCCGTGACTCACCGGCTCTGTTTCATCTCTCAGATCTTTTGCTTTTTTTCCTTTAATCCACTTGCCGCAACGACTTTATTTTACAATCCATTGCTGGGTTCACTGAAGAGCACTTTGGTCATTAAGCACGTTGGGGCATGTGAATAAATCTGCATCTCTCAACTGCGGATTGCTTTCAGGCTGGTATCAAATCGCCTTCCGCTGGGCTGCGGGAGTTACAGCACAAGCTCCCTGCGCTGCTCCATGTCCACCACCTCCGTGCTTTGAAGGCCAGCTGTGTGTGCAGGTCTGCAGGTCCGATTGGTACAAGCCCAGCTCCTTGCAGCTCCTTTCCCATGCCAAAGCTCTGTTCCCCTCTGCAGATCCACAAACTGTTGATCTTTCCTTTCTCTTTGCAGAGGTTTGGGTTCAGGCTGAGCTCTGCCTGGGCGTGCATGCAGGACCCAGTGTGAGGAGGTACTGGGTGTGCTGGGACCAGTTGCTGCAAACAGGATCTAGCTCTCCAGCTGCATTTTTCTCAGTCCAACCCATAGGATGGGAAGTGTTTCAGCAATAAAAGCAGAATTGGGGCATGTCTGAGCAGGGCAAGGGGTCTGCAGGAGGGACAGGCGGAGGGAGCAGCACGGAGGTATTTCCAGCTGATGAGAGCCGAGTGAGCCATAACGCGAGCGCTGCCAGAATCGTTTCCCTGTCTGTTGGTTTCCTTTCCTGTTTGGCTTCGCTGCCTACACAGTTTGTGCTCAAGATGTCTGTAGACGCGATGCTCTCATCCTCCGTAGCCAAAAGCCTCATTTTTGTTCCTACGCTTTGCTCGGCTCCTTGCAAGCCCGTGGCAGGGGGTACAGGGCAGGAGGCAGCTCCCCATGCAGAAATGCGCATCTGATTGTCATCAAACTGCACTCTCAGTGCCTCCTGTTTGCTCTGGATGGATGCGCTGTCTTCCCCGGGCGGCTGCTGAGTGCGGAGGCAGCCCCGTGCCCTTGCTCAGTGCCGGACATCTCTGCTCTCTGGGGCTTTAGTGGGCTCACAGAGAGGAGAAAAACAAGGCGGGGGCTGGAGGAGCATAGGGCTCGCGGTGGGTGGCCAATGTGTGCTGCTGTGTGTCCTCCTGTGGCTGGAACAGCAAGGGCTGGGGAAGCAGATGCTGCTGGGTTGGGGAGCGTGGGGGCTGTGGGAGGCAGCGGTTTGGGGTAAGGGAAACTGCACCTGGAATGTGGTCCTCTGTGGGGTTCATGCTGGAGGATGTGCAGATGGTGGGGACAGGGGGAGGTGAGTTGTGGGTGGGTTTGGTCATATCCCCAAGGTATGGGGAGGATGGATGGGCCTTCGGCAGAGGGCGTCACGGGGACAAAGTGAAGCACTGTCCTACTGTGCCTAGTGAAATGAGGGCACCTGTGGGGTGGCAGCTGGGCTGCATTGCCAAGGATGCCAGCAGTCTGCGTGGGGAGGACAAGCTGAAATCCCAATGGGCCAGAGAACAGGATAGGAGGACATCCTACAGCAGCAGCCACGGCAGGAAATGTGATCTGCAGCGTCCCCATGCCACGGTGTCTCCATCCCGCCATGTCTCCATTCCTCAGTGTTCCCATCCCATGTCCTCATCCTGCAATGTCTCCGTCCTGCAGTGTCCCCAGCAGTGCCGGCCGGCGCCCTTGCAGGGAAGCGGAGCGCATCAGGAAGCGCCTTTGATCTCGGGTTGCTAACACCTTTTCAAATGAGCCGCACAAACAAGTGCCCTCCTCCCCTGTCCTGGCCGGGGCCAGGCTGATAACACATCAGAGCGTACGCACACAGCTGCGATAGCGTTGTTTTATGGTGCTTTGATTGCTGCCAACCACGCCGCTCGCTCGCGGGAGCTTCAAAAGCAGCTCTCCATCCCTGCAACGCCCTGTGCAAAGAGTGCAGCGCCGGGCTGTGGGCACACAACGTCGATGTGTGTGCGTGTGTGTCTACGCCCAAATCTTTTTGCCCCGTCACATTTTTGCTATGGCAGCAGGGGTGGGTTTGGGAAACCTCCGGGGTTTACAGAGCTGGATGAGTACGCTGAGGTTGGATCTTTGGGCATGCACTGGGGTGCATGGATGGGAGAGCTCCCAGAGGTGCAGCGAGGGGATTTGCAGCCACTGGCCATGTGTTTGCCAGCGGCGTGGGAGTTAACATTGCAATGGGGGCAAAGAGGAGGAGAAGGGCTCAGACCTCCCCCCCCCGTCCAGCCCCCCCCAACTGCTGTGATTTCATTGAGGCTGTGTATTGGCCTCCCGAGAGTCAAGCAGGGTAACACCACAACATAAACAGAACATCTGGAAGCTCTTAAAGGATTTTATTTTTTAACACATTTACAAGAGCCAGGGACTCTCTGCAAACTTGGAGATGCTGCACGGCTCCTTTCCCCCCGAAGTTGACTGTCAGTGGGTGTGGGGCCGTTCCCCATCTCTGTGCAGTATTTCTGGGGGGCTCAGTGCTCGGCCAGGAGGTGCCAATCTGGCTGGCATATTCCTTGCGAAGTCCAAAGCAAACAGATGATAAGTGTGGTGTGATAAGCGAGCATAAACCTATTCCCGTCTTTCTGCGTGCTCCTGGCTCATGTTGGAGCAGGATGGGGACTTGAGCAGGGTTTGCTGGATGGAAAACCTGTTTCACGGAGCAGGGGGGGCTGAGCCACATGGGAGCTGGTGGTGTTGCACGTAGCAATGGGGTTTGGATCCTCCATACTGTGCTGCTGGGCTGAGGGACCTATAGGGGAAGACCATGTGCAGCAAAGCCAAATGGGATGATGCATTGCCATGCTGGTGACAACATCTGCTGTCAGACTGTTTTCCTCTCCCCATCTCCATCCAAGTGGCGGCAAGAAAAAGTCTAAAAAAAAAATAATAAATGGCTGGGAAAGTTGTCAGCCTGCAGAGCAGCTCTTTGGGGTTGGGTGATGTTTCCAGCCTGTGTCAACCTTGTGGCTGCCCTGCATCCTGCTCTGCACAGTGCTGCAACGTGCCACTGTCCCTTCATCCCTTGTGCATCCCTTGCATGAATACAAGCAAAATGAGCTGGTTCCCCTTCCTATGCACTCACATGTGTAGTGGTTTTGTCTCTTCTATGGAATCAGCCATTTGATTTCCTCTTGCCAGCCCCCAGCCATGTCTCCTGCTCACCTTTATGCTGGGTGTGGGTGTTGGGCTGCAGTGGGTCCCCGCTGGCCTTGGTGTCAGGCCTTGGAGATGACACTGAGAACTGCTGGTGTGCCTCCCTCATCCATCACCCCAAAGGGTAAGAAAGAGGAATGTCGATTTCCTCCATCACAACCCACTAACGCTGGATTTTTCCTTTGCAGGGCCAGCAGTGGAGGCTTGAGGTGCACCTGAGAGGAGAGCCGATGCACTGCAGCAGGAGCAGCCACCAGGACCTCACCATGGATGGGAGGGAGGAAGGACAGAGGCAGCACAGTGCCCGGCACCCGCAGGGATTGGGATGCACCCGGGGTCATGCCGTGCTCCTTCCCCAGCACTGACGTGGGAATGGCCCCAGTGCAGCCTCCCACCATCGCCACTGTGATCCGGGGTCCTGAGCTGACCTCGCTCTCCTGCACCCACGCAGGGCAGGGATGGCTGAATTACTGCTCCCTGCTGCACTCTGCACATCCTCCTCCTGGCCGGGTGGCCTCAGGATCTGTGGGGCTGGATGGCTGCGTGCTCTCGGGTCAAACAGTAGCTCCATTTTTTCCCTTGTGAAGCACCAAGAGCTTGCCCGGTTCCAAGGAAGTGGCTGTGGATTTTTGTTTTATTTTATTTCTTCTCTCCTCCGTTGTTCTTTCTGAATCTTTTGGGGAGTTTTGGGCTCTTATCGAGGATGCCCAGACCTGCACTGGGTGCAGCCCAATGCAGAGGGGCGAATGCCTCTGGAGAAGCAACGGGAGCAGCACACCAAGAGCTGGCAACTGCAGTGCCTTGGGACTGAGACTGTCTGGGAGCTGTGTTCCTTCACATTGCATAGCTGCATCCTCCCCAACACATCTCATAAGGGTGAGGTGGGATTCTGGGGGGCACAAAGCCAAACCGCAGCGAGGGGGACGTCAAGAAGGGGAAAAATGTCACCCTCAGAAACAATTAAACTGCTTAATAAAATCCGTTGCCTCTCGGAGTGCTCGCTGTTCTTTTCCGTTTGCCTTGGCTCAGCCACACTTACATCATGGCCCTATCGCGGGGCTGCCGAGTGGACGGGTTTGATTGCACAGGAAACCGGCGCTTTGGCAAACTTTTCTGCCCCGGTAAAGCCAGGCCAAGAGCTTAATGCCTTTGCTTTGCAGAAAAATTCTTCCCTGTCCTTTCCCTCTTTCCTTTCTGCAACCCCTTAACCATCACCTGCCAACTAGGCGGCCTCCCCTCGCATGCCTCCTGCTCCAAGAGCGCCTGAGATGCAGATTAAATCCCCTTAAATCGTGTTGTTTCTTGTCCATGGACTGTGTGTTCCCTCCCACCCTGTAGAGCTGAAGCACTGGAAGGTGCTATATGGAAACGTAACATAAAAAAAAAAAAAGGATGTTTATGTCATGGAAATGTCCTTTGATTTTTTCTTTTTTAAGAGTTATGTCTTCAATTACAAAAAAAAAGAAGAAAAAAAAAAGGATGTCCTTACATCTAAAAAGCACTGTAGCCTTAGGCACGTGTATGAATGTGTCAGGTGTTCAGGTGTGGTGGAGTGACTTGTGGTCTCGATATTGAGCTGGAACAGCAGAACCTTGGTCAGGAACATGGAGTTCTGGGCCCTTTCCTTTGAAAATATTACTTGAGTGTTTTAAGAACCATGTTTTGTGCTTGGGAAAGCTATGGCAGAACAGCAAAGCCCAGAAATGTGTGGACACTGCTTGGTGTTTGGTTTGGTAATGATGGATAATGGTGATGTCAAATTTGTTGTCATTGGTGAAGTGTCCTTGGAGGCAGAAGCCAAGGTGATGCTCAGCCCTTTGCCACTGCTCATGTTTGAGGTGGGACTGATGCTCTTTTCTCCTCCTGGTGGAGCGGAGCCATGCCTCATGGAGCACTGAGCAGGTGGTCGGGTAAATCACAGCATTCCCATCCATGAGCCAAACCTGATGGCACACCAGAGAAACGCTCTTCCTTGGCCAAGAAGAGCTGCACCACAGGATGGCCAACACATGTCCACGTTTCTCTGCAGTAGGATGCAAACTACTGGCACTGCTGCTGGAGTACATCTGCTTTTGGGATCCTTTCTCGCTGCTCTTCCCTGCCAAAGCTGCCCCCAAGACTGAATGGGTGCTGCCTTCCTCCCGCCCTGCTCTGGGGATGGATGGCAGCTCCCAGGACCCTTCCGAGTTCATAACTAATATTGACTTCAAAGGCTGTTTGCCTTCAGCGTCGGTCAGTCGTGTAATCCCGGCTTGTTTAGAGATGGTGAGCAAACAGAAAGCCAGGCCGTTAAAAGGGGAAGGGCGTGGGAGATGTATTGCTATTTACCTGTGGAACCGGGAGGAAAACTTGCCTGTCATTCTCGCTAATAAATATAAACTGGAAGCATGGATAAACCCAAGGGGATTTATTAGTTTGCTTTACCAAAGGCAAACATTAAGACAAGCTGGCTCAGCCCCAGGGCTGCCTTGGGCCTTTTGTGTGCTGCAGCCTGGCGCCTATGGGTGCCGATAAGGACGCGCTCTGTGCTCAGCCATATGAGCTCAAGGCATTTCTTCTGCAATATTTCTGTCTCCGTTTGGCTCGGGTCCTCCATGGAAATAGGCACTTGCATGGCCCTGCCTGGACTTTGGAGCCACCCCGGTGCCAAATTACTGCTTCCTTCCCCAGGGACATGGTTAGTCAGTGTGGTGGTTGCGGGTTGGTGGTTGGACTTAGTGAATTTAGTGGCCTTTTCCAACCCTAATGATTCTATGGTTCCATCTATCTTAGCACTCCTTGTTCACCCCAGGGCTTGTGTGTGCAATGCTGCTCAGGACATATAGACGTGAACGATGGACAAGGGGAGCTGGATTTGCTTTTCTAATGTGGGATCTCCTTTTGGAGAAGGCTCAGGGGCTGGGAAGTTTTCTATCCTGCGTGGAAAAGGGGGGAGCAGAGTGCAGCCGGGATGCAAAAGGCTCGGACATGGTGTGAGCTTAATTCTGTTTGCTTCAGTTTGACCAAAGCCACATTAGAAGCCATGAGCCATTGCAGGGGAAAAAGAAAAGGCTTTCCCTCATCCCAACCAACCATCCATCCATTCACAGTTCTCCCTTCTCATCACCATACCTCTGCCCCAATTCATCCATCCCTGCAGCATCTGGTGCATGTTTACAGGCAGCTCAAAATGCTCCTATAACTGTGATTTTTCCTCTGGGCCTCATAAACCCCTTCTGCTGGACCTGGGGGTGTTCAGGACCTTCTTCAGTCCCAGTACTGGAAGTAGGCAGGTTGGGAATGGGCTGCAACTGCATGCAGGATGCATTGGGCTGTGCTGGCTGCTGCATTGCTCCAGTGCTGGAGATAAATTTCCCATCAGTCACCATCTACAAAACTGTTTGGTTTGTTTTATTTGTTAAAGGGGGCACGAATGTTACAACTCTATCAGAAAACAAGGCTGTAATAGACCTATGAAAGGAGTATCGTTCCATCAACTCATTTGGTGCTAGGGCAAAATTTCTCCCCTCTATCCGTTATTTGGGACCTTTCAGCATCTCTCTCACACTGCTGTTTGTCTGATTTAGAGCAGAGAAGAGCAAAACAAGCACAATGAAAACCCTTTAGGGATTGTTTGGGCAAGGTATCAGCACAGCACAGCTCACTTCTTCAAAGAGGCACAGGTGCTCTTCATCAGCCTGCCCAGCTGGGGAGGAGATTGGGGCACTTCTCCCTTTGGAACTCTTGCCCTGCTCAGGTGCATCTCGTTGGTGCCTGGAGCAGGCGGGGGTTGTTCTTTAAAAAGGGCAGGGAGGAGGGGACTCAGGTTTTTGTGGTGGGATTTACTGGAGGGAAGAAGCTCTTCGCCATGTTCTGCTGCCTGGTGAGTTGGTTGATCTATTTTCTTCCTCTAAAATACCAAACTTTGCAGTTTTCTCTTCTGTAAGTAGGAGGAGGATGTGGCTAGCTTTGGTTTCTTGTTGCAGCTGAAAGAGTGATAGTGAGCTCCAGCATGGGATGTAGGCTGGGCTCAGGCTTGGTCTGAAGCCACCTACAAGGTGGGATTAGTAGGTGAGCCTGTGGGTATTGGTATCTCCATGCTGGGATTTTCTCTTGATCTATTTAGAGGAGAAACTGTTGTGTTTGGCCAACTGGTGTGTGGGCTTGTGTGCTCTAGCTACTGTAAGAGCTTAAAGAAGTTGGTTTTATCTTTACTGAAGTGAAAAAGCAGTAGTGTATGGTATTTCATCACCTGTGAGAAGGGTAAAGAAGGGTCCTTGCTTGTTTTGTGCTTTAAAGCTCTTTCTCTTTTCAAGAGTAGCTTGGGGGAATGTGAAAGTACCTGGGGACAGACTGCTCTGGATAGACCTGGTGCTTACAGAACTCCCTGTGGTCATGTTGTGGAAATGGTTGTGATTAATGTGTATTACTTCTCATTACCAAATCAGCCTGAAACAAGCCATACTTACGAGGGCTTTCTGTGGAAGAGCAGCTTTGGTCTCTGCAAGATGCATTTTTTGTTGTGTAGAGCTTTACTGGTTTGATTCCTATGGTAGCAAGGCTGAGCACCTGGGGGTGATTTTATCCTCTTGATGACTTGCCAGCTGTCCTGGCTGTTTTTGAAGCCCCTTTGCAGGTGTTCCTTACCTTCAATCACTGACCTGCTCCCTGCAGAAGCAGTGCTGGGCCTTTGCAGGAGCTGAGCTCAGCTCTGTGCTAGAAAGCATTGAGGGGAGGTATGTGCTGTTGAACCTCTCCTGGCTGTTGCATGGTGCTCTGTGCTCCTGGACTTGACTGATGTCCATGCAGATAAGCAGGGCTGGGGTTGCATGCCTCAGCTATTGTGTTGGTGTGATGCAGCCAAGGGATTTAGTGTGTGGAGAGGGCTGAACCCAGGAAAGAAATAGTTGATTATTGTTTTCTGTTCTTCAGACAACACAGCTGAGCAAATCCAAGCTTGCTGACTGTTAGTTAAGGGCCTAATCCTTTGCTTTCCCCTGGAAAAATCCTTTCCAGGCATCCTGAGATTTTTTTTAAGAAGGGCCAATAGGGGAAAACAGAGGCAAATATATCTCTCTCCCATTGCTTCAGGTATTTCTCAGCTGTTTCTTTAACTCTTCCCCTTCTTGCTTATCCTCATAAGCTTCCTGCCTCTTTCCTACCTTCTGCACAGGAACTTGCTTGCTGAAGCCCTTGTTGAGAGCAATGGTGATGCTGTCCTCAGGCAGATCTGTCTCTTCTGGCTTGCTCGTGACTTTCCTCAAACCCATAATCATAGCTTTATCATATCAGAAAGTAGGAATGGGCTGATGAAAGCTCCCTGCCCAGGTTGCAGCCACCCTGAAGGGCTGGGAAATGGGAAGGATGCTCTGTTCTGACTCCCTCAGCTTTGGGGGATGGTTTGGGAGTGCATTCTGCATGGTTCATGTGGGGACTCAGTGCATGCATTGCATCCTGGTAAATCCATGGGAGGAATAGCAACATCAGGGTGCTGCCAACCCCAATCCTGTAGGAATGCTGATTAGCTCCAAAGCTGCTTGGGAGCAAATGCTCAGAGCTAAGCTAGCTTTCCCCTCTAAGCCTTCATGTTTCAGTTGCCTTCAAGGAGAGGAAATTCTCCTGCAGGAAATACCTCCCTCTGCTTGCTTCTGGTGAACAGAAGTCAAACCTTCCTGTCACAGACAGGGCATGGTGGCCTTCAGGTCATGCAGGCTGCTCCTGGGGGGCCCTGCTCCCTGTGCAGTGCTGGTGGATACCAGCTGGGTATTGTAATGGCCAAACCTTCCTGGAGCGTGGTCTGGTGCCCTCCCCCTCCTCTTTAAATTAATGTGCCAGCCGTCTCTCACCCTAATTAAAACCAGCAAAGAGAGCTGGACCAGGACATAGCTTGGGAGGCTGTAAAATTCTAGGACAGTTTTATGTAGAGCAATTAAAAGGAAGGTAAAAAAAAAATTGTTAAGAAATTAAACACTAATTACTTTTTTTTGCCAGCTGAACTGCTTTGGCAGCAGGGCT